AAGCTACAGACTGTACAGAACACCGCACTCAGGACAGCGACAGGATGCCTCCTGATGTCGCCCGAACATCATCTCCACGGCGAGGCACAAATGCTCCCCATAAAGGAGCACAACATAATGCTCTGCAAGCAGTTCCTGATCGGGAGCCACAGAAGTGGCCACCCAAACAGACAGCTGCTTGCAGGCATCTATATGAACTGACGGACGAAGTCCAGGGGTTCATCAAGCAACCTCTGGACCCGTCAGCTTACCGACTGGCCCTGAACGGCATTCACAGGGAGTCAGTCTCGAGTTATGTAGACTCTAGACCTGTGAATGCCGTTCTAGGCATACCGCCCCCGGACATAGACGAGACGGAGCTTCATCTGCCTCGGGAGACACGAACGACAATAGCCCAACTTCGCTCTGGCTACTGCAGCAGGTTAAACTCCTACCTGAGTAGATTGAATGAGGATGTGCCAAATGAGTGTCCGGCATGCGGAGAGACCCCACATGACTCGAAACATCTCTTCGCATGCCCGGAAAACCCGACAACCCTAACGGCTTTGTCCTTGTGGACCAACCCAACAGAAGCTGCACGCTTCCTAGGGCTGCCGTTAGTGGAACTTGACGACAACGACTGAGATACCAACCGATCTGGGCGGGGTTGTTGTAGCCGCTACAACAACAGAAGATCATCAGTAAATTTGAGCAAAAAATGCTAACACTAAAATTTAGAAAAATTAAAATTCAATTTCAGACATATTAGCTGTCTGCAGAAGCTGGCATTTACTACCCTGACAATATTTTCATCTGACTATCTATGTATTCGAGTCCTTACCACTTACCACTAAGGTACACAGAGACATTTCCCTGCAGGAAATTTAATTACTTTGAAAGTAATTTATAAACTACTTTATTTTCAATGATAACTAATTGAAATTCTCACTATTTTACCGGCAACGAACTCATTTATTTAACATGGCTAGGAAGCAGTCAACTGCCTTTTCCGGCATGTATTTTCAACTACTTTAAAATGCATTTGGCTTAAACAACTTCAAAGACAGTATATGTCGTTTGAATACGCATTCGTTCTGAACTTCTCAGATCCTTTTTCATATTTAAAAGACACAAAAAAAATGTATTATCATTTTCACATGTTGCCTCTGTTGGGACTCGAACCCGAACCTTCTGGAAACTAACAAGTAACAGCAAGCATCTCTGCACGCTCAACTATAGCCATATACAGTGACGAGCAAAAAGTGTAACATGGTGTGACACTTTTTATTTCAGCCACCACTATCTCTCTAATCTCTCTATCTAGTTCTAACGACTTTCATACTTTTGCTGTATATTCTTGTTGGTACATCCCTACTCCCTCTCTCATAATGATTTGAAGTCAATACAACAACAATAAAAAACCAGCAGACAAAAATGTAAATTAAGGCAGATGTTACAGTTTTGCACTCATACATTTTTAAGAGCTTTTTAACAATTTTCACGAAAAAAAAGAACTACTAACACAATGTTCAGTACTCTTTTGCCTGTTTCAGTTCCTGGATGTGATTTGGCATACCTTATTTGTATCTTTGTAAAAATTCTGGAGGTATATCCTTAGTTTGGTTTCACAGCTCATGTACTCGATTTTACGGATATTGATACTTATTAAGCTGTGCTTTTAGTTGATTTCGCAAAATCTCGATGAGATTCATGTCCGCGGTTTGTGGAGGTCATTTCAAATTAGCAAATTTTTGCTTTTGTATCCAGTCTTTGCGAACATATGCAGTATGTTTTGGGTGATTTTTCAGCAGAAACTCTCATTTTTTCGACTACATCTTGCAAATTTTGTTGAAATATGAACAGATACTGTTCCTTACGCATAATGCGTACTAACGGACCAACAAAATTTTTGAAATACAACCCCAAATAATTAAGATCCTACCACTGTGATTCACAGTTTGCAGTACATGATTCGCTTAGGCTTAATTTGGGTCTTTGATCCAATACCATGCCCGGCCATCTGATTGAAAGCGATTAATTTAGTCTTGTCAGACCAAATAACCTTCAATTGAAACTTAAAAATTTGTTTTTTATTGCATTCTGAACGGCCTAACATATCCCAATAGGCAACGGTTCGGATTTCGTGCGATGCAGTGAAATGCTGCCACACTCGCACATGTATTATGATCAAATTTGCTTATTTCTTCTTTATGATGCCTTTGCGCTCAATTTGGCAATTCTTCGCCTCGCTGTCTACTGATTTGCATTAAAGTTTAATACCTTAAGCGCTTCTGTAATAGTGGCTGCATCGCTACTTGCTTCTAAGTTCACAAGATATCGTACCGTAATATTTTTTAACAGACTTCCTTTGTCCTTGGGAACACTTTAGGCTATATTTTTTCTAAGTCTTAACATTTTTAAGTAGCAAATTCCAAAATTTTTTGCCACTTTTCGTGCGGTTCCGCCTTTCCGTAGTAAATCTATTATTTACATTTATGGTTCCTGATTAACTATATTATTTACTGGTGATCACTTCTTCAATAAATTACAATATAGAAAAAAGTCATCTGACTTCCAACTAAGTAAAAGATAACTGTCAAATGCAAAACTGAGAGTGAGTGCAAAACTGTAACATCTGCCTCAATTTACATTTTTGTCTGCTGGTTTTTTTATTGTTGTTGTATTGACTTCAAATCATTATGAGAGAGGGAGTAGGGATGTACCAACAAGAATATACAGCAAAAGTATGAAAGTCGTTAGAACTTGGAAATATAGCGGTGGCTGAAACAAAAAGTGTTAAACCATGTTACAGTTTTGCTCGCCACTGTATGTAAAAGTGCTTTCAAATGTTCAGTTTGAGTTGTGTGCAGTATGTTTCTTTTGAATACACTTGCGTTCTGCACTTCACAGATGCTTTTTCATACTTCCAAGACACAAATTGTTTGTTTGAGTAAAAAGAGTATCAAAATTCGAAACATTTACTTATTGCACTTGTTTTAAAGTAGTCTTTCAATTAATTCATTAAAAAAAAAAACGGTTGTTTCCGTCAGGTTTAAGAGACGCTTAATTAGTTTTTTTTTAATTCTTGTACGAATTAAGTATCAATTAATGTCTCCAAGGACGGTCGTTATTTCTTTCTGGCACGTCATGGCTATTTTGAATATTTCTTTGCAAATAATGGCACGTACATGTATAAAGGTTCGCCGACCCTGCTTTACCCTTTAATAATGCCCAGTATATTGACATGTTTTGATTTCTAGCTGCCGTAAACCATTCAAATACAGCTTTGCCCACACTTTTAAACCTTGGGTTTTTTTCATTCTTTTGTTGTGTCCAGAAGTAGCATCAGATTCGAACGACGTTATTATTGACTCTTTATTTTTTTAAATTGTGGAAACCGTGTTCGCCGGAATGCCATATTTTTCAGCCACTTCTTTATTCTTTTTCCCACTCTCAACTTGTTTGATTCGCCTAAATTTCGTCAATAGACAAACACGTTTAGATGCCATGCTAATAGTCTTTACTCTACGAAGATTAACTGATTAAAGGCCAGTATACAGTTCTCAAGAAAAGCAAAAACTCCATATAAAATGACGTACAAGAAATGGCAAAGAAAAATTTTCTTGAGGTAGTACGCAGTTCTACGGGTTTCTAAAGTTTTTTGTGAAAAAAGAGCACAAGGCAACCCATGTTTGCTACAGAAATATATGCCGGTTCCATTATTTCTTGAGGAAAGAGTGAGGCAACATGCTGTGAAGTATCAGATGTCGAAATTCCTTGTACACACACACACACGAAATAGTGGCAATTTTTTTCTTTACCGTTTTCTTGAGAGCTGCATACTGTCCTTAATAAACGTTACACAAAGAAAAGTCAAAAAGAAAAAAGCATTTGCTTAACAAATAAGTACTTCCCCGAATAAAAGATTCGCTGAAATAAACAAAAACCAAAGCAACAAAACCAAGTGCATAATTTGGGATTTCCCCTAAATAATTCGACTTACAGAATTTGCAAAAATTCTTATTCGATCTCAGAGGGTCTATCTAGTTTTTTGCTCTCACTGAGCAGACGACACTGCAGACAACTTGTTGGACTGCTGACTGGTCACTTCACGTGGCACAAACACCTGACTGTGATAGGCGTAAATTACAAGTCCATTTGCCCATCCTGCCTTGAAGAGGATGAGGCGGCGAATTAAAAGTTTGGTGTAAAAAGCATGTTTTAAAAATGTGAGTGATACATATTTTCCGCCTCACTTTTATAGGCGGCATACACCGTGCGTCTGACTCGTGAGTCGGTTTGGACCGACATGACTCCTGGCATGACTCTGAATGATTCAACTGTGTGTAGTCGAAAGGGAGTCAACACGTATACAAATGACTCGCGAGTCAGACGCACTGTGTATGTCGCCTATAAAACTCGGAGCGATAAGAATAAAAATGATGCCATCAACACAAATAAACTATTTTACAAATACTGCACGTATAAAGTCATGAGTGAGCCGAACATTTGATGAGTTTATGGTGAGGATAATGTAAATAACGCTAGGGCTCGAAGTGCTCTTAAAAAAAATAACTCTTCAGAGCGAGAGAGTATTTTGATGGGTTTAGGCGCTCTATTTTTTAAAGCCTGCAAGTGTGTAATCACATTAATTTAATAAATAGAAATAAAAAAATAATAATAAGAAAGAAAATATTTTAGTTTTATTTTGGCCACTCCGAGTTTAGTTTTTGCTCTTCACCCGCGATGCAAATTTACATAGTTACATCTAATCTTCACATTTAACTTTTTTTACGAGCTTTGGGAATATTTAGAAATGTATCAGCAGGGGGTCCACCGAAACCAGTAAATTTTTGAAAGGTTTCTACGAGAAAAAAACATTTGGGAACCTCTGCTTTAGGCGCACCATTATTACATAGTGTAACTATATTATTATATATTATATATTATCTTTACAGTTGAATTATTTAAGTGAAGAATTGGAATACAAATTATGAGTTATGTTATTAACTGTCTTTCAGGGAGATGTCTATATGTACTATGGCCTTAGTAATTACTATCAAAATCATCGGCGTTATGTGAAATCTCGAGACGATGAACAGCTGTTGGGCCGACTATCATCAAATCCATCAACGGACTGTGTTCCCTTCGCTTATGTTGAAGAAAATATGCAAAGTATACCTATCGCACCTTGCGGCGCGATCGCCAACTCGCTTTTTAACGGTTAGTAAAAACCTTACTGATGGCATTTTCGATAAACATTCTTATTTGTATTTTATTTAATTAGATACATTAACACTGAAATACGGCGATGTAGAAGTGCCCCTGATCAACACCGGTATTGCTTGGCCATCTGATAAGTTAATTAAATTTAGAAATCCACCAGGCAATTTAACGCTTGCTTTGAAGAACTTCAGTAAGCCAAAATTTTGGCAAAAGGAGCTTTGGCAATTGGATCCACAAAATCCCGACAACAATGGATTTCAGGTTCGTTACTGTCATCTTGTGATCTATTACATTACGTCTAATTACATACACACACATACATATGTGCGTGCTTAACTTGTTTTTAGAACGAGGACTTAATTGTTTGGATGCGTACGGCAGCATTGCCAAGTTTTCGTAAACTTTATCGGCGCGTTGACCATTCCAATGCAACTTTTCAAAATGGTTTGAAGAAGGGCGCTTATACGCTGAATATTATTTATCGTATGTATATTATTATATAATAAAATATACACAGCTTTGTTATTTATATTTATATTTAATTTTCTTTTTGTATTTTTGTGGTTAGAATATCCCGTGACGTCATTTGATGGTTCCAAAAAAAATGATTTTATCGACAACGTCTCTTCTGGGTGGAAAAAATCCATTTCTTGGCATTGCCTACATTGTTGTTGGATCAATTTGTCTAATTCTTGGCGTTGCGCTGCTGTTCATACATATCAAATGTAGCAAAAGGTTAGTATCAACAAATTTGAAATTTTTTTTAACACCTACCCCTCCAGTGTGAGCTCTTATCGGTTTTCGCTAGTATGAAATGAAAAGACCTCATAACTGAATGTCTTAATTTTTAGATAAGCTAGCGTATTATATTACTCATTTCAACATTGTATGTATTCTTTTGAATTTCAGCACTACGGAAATGATCAACGTCAACCCACGCACACCATATTCGTAACCGCATTTCAGTTAGGCGACTTAATGGGAGATTGCAAGCACAACTGTGTCTCGGATTTTTACTGATTATTTTGGATGTATTGCACGAAGATATTACGGATTTAGCAGCAGAAACTTGTTTGAAAGATATCTGAACAATTATTATTAACGTTTAGTCCATGGTAGTGCAGCTTCTATGAATGTAGTTGATTAACAAATATGACTTTAAAAGTTATCCACTTGCATAGTTATCTACTGGGTGACAGGTAACAAGATCATCGGAAGTAAGGTAATTGACACTATTTCGCATACTGGTGCGAAATAAAGTCAATAGACATTATTACTTTTTCAAAGGCGAAATAAAATCCATTGACATTGTTGCTCTTTCAAGCATTAAATTTGCGTAGCTTCGCGGCAGCCCCGTCCGTTTTTATATTTCGCTACCTTAATATAGAAAGGCCCTACCTCATATCGTCGCTGAAATAGAAAAAGCCGTAACTAACTAAAAATTCAAAATTCACTTTTTGATTGATTATGATGCTTTTCATCGAATTATAAGTCACCACATTGTTTTATGCATTAACAAATTTTAGTTAGTTACGGCTTTTTTTGCATTTCAGCGACGATGTGAAATATGGCCTTTCTATATTAAGGTAACGATTTGTAAGTTGTTGGATGATTTTTGCTTTGTTGGCATCAACTTGTCTGCAGTAAAAAAATCATATAATTTTTGTTTCAAAAGTGTGTGAAAACCAATCAATCAACTTACATGATGTCAGTTCCATAAAAATAATTTAAATAATTGTTTATTCCCGCATTTTGGTAGTGATTTGAATGTGCCATCTAATAAATAGTGCCGTTCTCCTTACCTGCTTTTAAATGATGTCACAAATTTTTGGCGGCGGCATGAATACTACAGTGTAATAAAATTCCTTTTCTATAATTGTTTCCTTATACAAAAGGTTTCTTTTCCACCTTAGACATTCCGAATTCGTTCAAAATATGCTAATTTAACCTTTAACTATGGAGGTGAATTTTTTGGACACAGTCTGTGACCTGGTGGTAAATTTTACCCCTTCGAATTTTAGTTAGAAATTTGAATACGAATTTGCCATTTTATAATTATTTTTTCTTTTAAACTAAGCTACTAGAGTTTTAAGTTAAAATAAATACAAAACTTTATTTTTTCTTTTAAAATCAACAAAAGTCCCTTTTTATTTCACAAGGCTTTTATAATTCACAAGAACGAAAACATCACATAGTAAACTTATAAAAAAAGTGTAAAATAAAAATTAATCTAAAGCTTAAGGGGCATCTTTTCACAGCCAAATATATATATTTAAAGAAATAAAAGAGATCATATTAAAAAAATGCAATTGTAAAAAATACAGGTAAACCTTCCTTGAGAGAAAAAGTTGCATAAACGTTGAGGAGTGGTAATTTTTACACCAGCATCAGCGCCCACGCTACACCTTCCACAGCAAAAACATAACTGATCAATAACGACAACGAAATGAGAAGATGCTGAGAGAACCAAGTTGCTGGAGCGCAACATAGGATAGTAATTCAAAAAAATTTAAAGAGGGGGTACATTTTACCACCACCTCCACAGTTAAAGGTTAAAAACAGTTCTTTCAGTGTTCCTCCGGGGTTTTTGGACACGGCGCACAGTGGGGCAAAAAAGGTTGCTGTGGACAAATCATTTTTGGAGCCCAAATATGAATTGATTTCATGTTTCTTTTTTTAAATAAGAGATAATTAAATTTCGCGTCGATCTATCCGTGGCGCTTTTTTAAAAAAGCTCTAGTTTTTTATTTATTTATGTTGAAAAATGAAAGAAAAAAAATTTTACGCTTGAATGCTTCCAACTTTTTGGAAAATACTTGAAATTTATTTCAAATGCCTGCAATTATTTAAAAAATTATTCATAAACATTTTTCCATAGGATGCATTTAATTAAAAAATGTTTTTAATTTGTCATCTATACTGATATACACATTAGAATGTGTATGGGGTGTGAGAAATTCAGTTTGTATGGGAGGTGCCACGCCCCGTTTTTCAATAACTCCCATTTTTTCCATGCGTTTGGCGTTGATATTATATATCTCTGTACTAAGTTGCAGCACTCTACGATGAATACTTCCAGAGATATGTTGTGTGAAAAGTTCAGTTTGTATGGGAGGTGCCACGCCCCTTGATATATCGAAATTGCTTTTCATCTATTATCATCCCTGGATAGTCTGGAGTCGATGTCCAAAATTTCAAAAATATAGGTACAGCTGTTCTCGAGTTTTTCGAACAGAAAAAAACGGCTTTCAAAATATATATTAGTATAGATAACAAATGAAATGCATCTTTTAATTAAATATATCCCATGGAAAAATGTTTGTGAATAATTTTTCAAATAATTGCAGACATTTGAAATTAATTTCAAGTATTTTCCAAAAAAGTGGAAGCATTCAAACGTAAAAATTTTCTTTCTTCCATTTTTCAACATAAAAAAATAAAAAATTAGAGCTTTTTTAAAAAATCACCACAGATAGATCGACGCGAAATTTAATTATCTCTTATAAAAAAAAGAAGCATGAAATTGGTTTATATTTGGACTCTCAAAATTGATTTGCCCACAGTAACCTTTTTTGCCCCACTGTGCGGCGGCAATACACTTGTAGTATTTGAATCAAGTTTACTATATTTATTAAATATTTGAATTCAAAAGTAATATAAAAACTACATGTTTTGCAAGTTCTTTATCATTCATACATTCTTTCCTCAAATATTTCTCGTATTCCAGCTCTTTTTGCGTTTGGTTTTTCGCATCGTGTTTTTATTATATTCGTTATTTAAAATTTTTCAATTTTTCAATTTTTCATGATTGCGTGTTGTTTAATAGTACACTGAGGATTTGGCAATAACCTCTTTCATCTATTGAAACAACACTTAAGGGGCAATGTTTATTGTAACAACATTCATATCTCACGTACGATGCAAAATCAACATTTTTTTCTTTGAGTCGACATACTTTAAGCATTGTTGACGCTATTTCCATTGAATGAGGAAATAGTAACAATTACTTTATTTCCAAATCTTTGTTGACTTTATTTTATGCGAAATAGTGTCAATTGACCTTACTTCCGTTGATGTTGTTACTGTCACCATGTTTGCACTTGTTTTCGAGTTTTAACTCCTTTTGTAGCCTTTATTAGGATTGGTGATTAATTTATGCAGGGTTCCTAAAGCCCTACAAATACGATGGATACCGTGACATATTGAGGCATATTCTTGTTTTCATATGAATCGAAAATTTGAAATTTTTCATCACTTTTCTATACAAAACTTTCTTATTTTCGATTCGTACGAAAACAAGAATACGCCCATTATATTGTATTAGCTTGACTATGTCATTAAATATTTAAGTTTCATTATTGTACCTTCATCTGAAATTGTTTAATAAAGTAATTCACCGAATAATTTATTAAATATTTTTATTAGCGTTATGACTAGCAAAAAAATCAAATCTAAAGAATTAATCTAAAGCAGGCAGTAATGGGCATTGTATATCACGCGTACAGCTTAACCAGCGTTGCCGCTTTGGTAATTTTTTACCAAAATTGGTAATTTTTTTCTTTATTTATCAAATTTGGTAATTTGGTAACTTATTTTTCGTTTTGGTAACTTTCTCTATTCGGTCCTACTTGTAACATAGGTCAAAACATGATCTGATTCCACATTAGGAAGTGCGCCGTAAGTGTTTCCTTTTATAGAAATACCCGGTAATCCTGAAAGTTTCGCATGGCGAAAAGTTCTTCGGCGTTCCTGGGCTATTAGAATTGTGGGATCTCTAACAAACTGCTTGAAAGTGGCTACAATAACAACAAAAACAAAGTGGCTATTGCTATATCTACCGTGTCCTTTTCCAGAAAGTTGTGGATGGTCCTACCTTTCCTTGTCAGTTCTTCAGCTTTGCAATTGCCATCAATATTCCGGCGTAACCCGGCAGCCATATGAGTAGAATTCTATGTAAATATGTACGTTCTAAAAGGTAAGGCATTCAGAAGGGGACTTCATTTTGTCTATGTGTTGAGGACCGTCTTCATGCGTTGAAGTTTTGAGATATTTTCGGCCACTTGTTGACATATGTACATATGTATGTATGCCAGGCCCGGCCGCAAGGAGGGAAGGGGGTGTTTTGGGGGTTCGAACCCCCCCGCCCCCCTGTGGAGGGAAATATGCATAAAAATTTGACATCATTTTGTTTAAGATAATAATCGTAAAAAAACATTTTAAGATCTCAAATATTTAAGATCTCTTTTCAGAGATAGTAGTCGAGAGATCTAGGTTTAATTTAAGCCAGGAAGGTTCTATCACCGTTTGTTTCTTTGCGAGAGCTTCTAAAATATTGCAAACACCGCGGTTTTCTGACACTTTGACCTGGCTTTTTTTTGTTTTCAAAATCTGGAGCTGTTGGAAACTTTATGCTTACGGTTTCGTAATCAGCACAAAAAAAATCTATCAAAAACAGTTTTAACAATTGCTGTACCAAATTTTTTTTTATATTTTTGTTGGGCTCTGTTATTCATTAAAAAATTTGCGAAAATTCAGATTTCCGTTTTTTCTACAGAAATTTTTCCTTATGTGGTCTATAGCACCCTTCGCTTCCATATTTAGTTATAGTTTTGCAAAATAATTCAATGAATATCATCATGCATCTGCAGTAGCCTGCGTCTTATTTTGCAACTTTGTCCTACAAAGCATGAGCAAGGCTCATTTGGTCATATAAGCGTGACCTGCGAAAAGTTTTTTTAAATCTGATAACGGAAAGAAGTACCTCAAAAGCAAATTCATGGAATTTTTTACAAAGCGGTCAATATTTTGCCTATAAGTCAGTGCGAAATTTAATGTATTTTATTGGCACTTGAGGGAGTTTTGTCCCCGATGTTATAAATACCTACAGTATTTTTAAACCTTCCCATCAAGTTATTGGGGTTTTTTTGGGAAAAGGCCGTGAGGCCTTTTGAAAAATTCAACATGGCGTCTCAAATATGGTATCCAAACTAACAGTACATTAGATTTTTGCTTTACACATTTTGTGCCACCGGAGAACTCTAAAAGAGAAAATTTCCCTACAACTTTGGCATTCGAATATGCTACGCATTTTTATCAGAAATTGTTGAAAAATGGCGAAAACCGTGACAATACAAAAATTTTTCGCACGTTTTTATAATTATTTACAATAAAAAATGATTTTTTAAGATTTGTATATAAAAAAATGTCGGAAATTAAATTCTCTACAATTTTGTATACGAAAAATGCAAAATATGCTTGCAATCGCAAAAACCCAAAAAACCTAAAATCCAGGATAGCGCAAAGTTCAGGTATGAAATTTAGGGGCAATACTGTGGATCCATGATCTACGCATCAAATAGAAGTAAACTGCATCAAAATTCCGCGAACAGTTGGGGAGGTTTAAAAATAGGTTAGCAATATTTGACATCGGGGGGCAAAACTACATCAAGTGCCATTAAAATGTATTAAATTTTCCACTGATTTATAGACAATTTTGACCGCTTTTTGAAAAATTGCATGAAAATGCTGAACTTTAGGGCACGTCTTTCCGTTGTCCGATTTTAAAAATTTTTCGCAGGGCTCGTTTTTATGACCAAAGGAACATTTGTAGGGGAATCTTGCTTTGTATTTAGCTTAACAAAAAATTTTCTCCATACAACTAATGCGCAGGCTAATGTACAGGCATGGACAGAGAACGAGCACACAAGGCTAGCTTTTCTCAATATTCATCGCAATCTGGATGTTAATTTTGACTCAGTATTAAAAGAATTTTTATCTATACCTCGGTGAATTGCATGTGACTTTTCTTTAAGTTTTTCTGAATTATATCCACAATTATATACAGTATGCTGAATACTCTAAATAAAAAAATTATATTCTTGGTTGTTACGAATGACTTTACATATCGCACAATCTTGTATTTGAACAATCAGTGGTATAGGAGATAAAGCTAATACAGCACCGATATTGACGATTTTCTCAGTAGAGTTTGCATGATAATTTAGAAAATAGCTCACGAAATTTCTCGGTTTTAGCTGTCCAATTAAAGGAGTTTTAAAGTAAAACCACATATCTGAGCAATCAGTTGTATGGAGGCTATAGGTTATAGTGACCCGAATTTTGTAATTTTCACTGTAAGTATTCGATTAAAGTAGTGAGAAATTTGAAGCTCCTAGCTGCATAAATGGAAGATTTATAATAAAAGATCTCATA